CCCCCCCCCCCCAGGGGTCCAGGTCACATCACCCAGGCCGGAGGCGGCAGCCATCCCGGATCCCTGTTGAGGGTTCGCCTGGGTTTTACAAACTGAGGGGCTGTGGCACTGCTGTCTGGGGAAGGGTCCTGTTAGGCACCAAAGTGACCCGTGGAGGGAGGCCCAGGTGTCCTGGCGCCTCTGCCTTCTGCTCGAGGGGACTAGCTGTCTCCGCTGCCTCCTGGGCTGGGCAGAGCTGGGCCCCACAGGCAGCCACACCCAGACCCGGCTCCCCAGCCTCTCCTCCCCACAAAGGGCCCGAGGGGGGGCAGAGGCGCCTCACTGTGTGTCCTGCCTCCCGCCCTGGATCCACTGCTTCAGCAGGTACTCGTAGTAGCTGTCGGCCCTGGCGCCCAGAGTGAACACGCCCAGGTGGGTGAAGAGACCGCTGTGTGTGTTGATGAACATGGGCACCAGCCCATCCTTCTTTCCCGACAGGGAGTGGACGTGCCTGGTCACCTCCTCCGCGGCCTCCTGGGCAGACAGGAGAGGGCGGGTGAGCGAGGGTGCCCAGCGGTCCAAGGGCTTCGTGTGCTCTGCCCTGAGTGATCCGTTCCTGGCAGCGAGAAGGTCGACGTCCTGGCCGCTGCTTCCTTGGCCCACTGCCCCCGGCTCTGGCCAGCCCACACCACAGAGCAACCGGTTGGTTTCCAGACGGCCACCTCGGGGTGGCAGACACCACAGGCCCTTGTCCTCTGGGCAGGTCTCAGCCCCCACAGCCAGCCCTCAGGGCCACCTGCCCAGCGTGGCGCCTGCTCCTGCTTACTGGAGGGAGGCAGATAGGTCCGCTCCCGAGCCCAGGGCTGCTGCTAACCGTCGACTGCCCCGACCCCTTGTCCACCAAGTGAACTGTGTGTCGGCCCCGCCCCAACCAACCTCAGCTCCTCTGTGCTCAAGTCTTGCCAGGCAGCACCCATCTGTGCTCCCACAGCTCTGTGCACGTCAGAGGGATCAGGACCCTGCACAGGGTGCCCTGTGGGTCTCTACCCAGCATATCCACCCGTCCCAACAGATAACTGCCTCCCAGAAGATGTTCCTCTTTGATCTCCAGCTACTGCAAAGACCCAGCAACACATGGGCGCTGAGGCCATCTCAGGGTAAATGGCCAAATGCTGAGGTTTTCATTCCACCTCAACACCGCCAACTGCTCCTCTCGCCCACTCCATGGGCCACCACAGCGTCACCGGAGGCCGTCGGCTGGACAATCTCAATGTCACCAACACAAAACTGGCTACAATGCCAGCAGGTCAACAGAGCCAACCCAGGCAGCGGAGACAGGGGGGCCTCTGCACGCTGGCCCTGAGGCGGCTCAGACACGCAGCCAGCTCTATCAGGGCCCGAAAGACACGTGTTGCACCAAGGCAGGGTAGGTGGGGCCAGGGCAGAGGCTCACCCGCCAGTCCATGCCTCCCAGGCCTGAGCCCTGGCATCAGTGAAAAAACAGGGCTCTAGTGGAAAGGCAGTGGCCTCCCGGCCCGGAATCAGTGTCCGCATGGCCGGCACCCACTGTGCTGAGCCAGAGCCTCTGCCAGACACCAGGCCCCGTACCTGGAATTTCTTGACCCCTGTGAGACGAGAGAGCTCGCGGAACTCCAGCTGGATGCTCGTCACCTCGGCCACTGTGCTGTCCGATGTCCACCAGGGTGGGTGGGCAACTCCAGTGCCGATGTTCACATCTGAGTACGGAATCTTGGAGGGCGTTTGGAACGCAGGCATCAGCCGATTCCCCAAATCTTCCTGATACACACACAGCGAGAGGTCACCGTCTGCTGTCCCCGAGGCCATGTCTACCCTTCACGGTGCAGACCCATCACCCGCTTCCATCCAATCACAGGACAGACATAAGCCTCCTGGCTTCACGGGGCCCCCGCCCTCCGCAGCAGCAGAGTGAGCTGGACTCCTGAGCTCGAGCGATGTCCCTGGGGCTGCAGGGGGACGAGTTGTGCTGCTCTGCTCAGCTCACCCCCAAAATGACAAATGAATTTAAGAGAAGGAAAGCGGAAACACCCCCTGCCCCAGAATCCCCAGAGCAAAGGAAAAACTGGGTGAGCCTCATGGCTCAGGGCCCTGAAGGTGAAGGCCACCTGGCACAGGACACTCACGGCCTTCTCCAGGAAGAGCTTGTCCCCAGACAGGTGGTAGGCGCTCAGAAGCCCCCCCAGGATCCGGATGGTGCTCTCAAACAGGTTGACATCCACATTTTTCTGAAACTCTAACTTCTCAGACACCCATTTCCTGGCTTTTCCAAATTCTACATGAAACGGGAGAGGCAGAGGACATGCTCACAGGTCTCATGGCCCCTAGGACCTCTCTCCCTGGGCAACGTGCATTCTCCTGCCCATCTTTCTCCTCAGGGGTAACGGCATAAACCCCAAGTCTTCAAGCCTGAGCATAAACAGGCTGGCGTGCAGCTGAGGAGCCACACCCAGCTGTGAGCACAAGTGGTCGACCATCAGAGGCCACGGGTCAGGGACCACGTGGGTAGCTCAGTGGCAGTCCTCAGCCTTTTCAGAAAACATCACTTAGGAATAACCGACGACGACGCCCCATCCGTTTGCCCCCAGCTGTGTGGCACAAGATGGACGTCAGGGACAGGTTCTGGGTGCTGGCAGCCACATCAGGCTATCTGCCACCTCCCGCCACGGGGCCCTCTCCCAAATGCAACAGAAACCCAGGCTGAAAATGCCCTCAGACGCCCACCCAGGGTCCACACTTGGCTCTTGTCTCACATCCACTCCTGTCACCCAGAGAAGGGAAGCCCATGTCGGTGGACACAGCGGGGGGGCCTCCCAGGGACCGCCGCCCACTCGCCGCATGTTGCACACGCGAGGCTGTGAACTGAATGACAGGTACCTTTCTTCAGACCCAAAATCCACATGGTGTCCAGGGCGTCGATCAGTGTGAGGCCGAGGCCGAACCACTCGCCAAAGGACTTGGACACGGGCTTCAACTCGTCGTGACCCCAGGCAAACTTGTGATACCCAGTCCACGCGTGGAGGAAGGCATCTATCACGGCCTTCTGGCGCTTGTTAGGGGGGGCTGGAGGGAGGGAAGCGGGTCAGGGGGACCTTGGACCTGGTCAGGGAGACACAGCCCCCCTGGGGCCCCAAGCAAGGATGCTGGTGACCTGAGGAACGCTGTCCAGGGCCACAGCGCAGCAGAGGGCTTGACAGTCCAAGCACAGAACCGGAGGTGAAACCCTCAGGGCTGGACATGGCTGTGGAGATGGCGAGGCACTGGGGGCCTCATAAGACAGCCCAGACTCGCGTCCACCTGGCCTGGTCCCGTCCACTCCACTGGGGCCACAGGGAGCATCGGTGCACAAAGGCATTTTAGGCCACAGATCAGAGACACAGTCACACTGGCTGCACTGGCAACTCGGGCTTGGGAATACCAATGGTGACAGGTGCTGGTGAGGAGAGCCAGCCCACCTCGTCTCATGAACCCGCCTGGTGGCGTCCAAGAGGAGACGCTGTGGGGCAGGCACACTGTGGTCCCTTTGTAGCCTGTCTGCAGCGCCCACGATGCACCGGGGAGGCTCTACTCCCCACACGTGCAGGACACACAGGGGACCGTGTCCACGAAAACAGGTCACTGGCTTCACACCACGTGTCCTCTCTGTGGGGTAGAGGCCTCCCCTTGTGATCCTCACAGCTTTGCCGTCAGGCCACGCGATCACTCTCAGTCCCCACAGGCCCGGCCACCAGCCCGGCTCTGAACTCCCTCCTCTTCCACCAAAGTGCCAGCACCCAACAGGCACCCAACCACTGGTGCCCAAATGCAGGGCACCCACCCAGCTGCCCGAGTCCCTCAGGCCTGGGGGAGATGCCAAGGAGCACCTGTGTCTCCACATCCCCAGGCCCCTCTTGGACCAGACATGGGCAGGAAAACAAGCCTCCCACACACACATTCCTGTCGCCACAGCCCTGGACATGGGACAACGGTGTCAACAAAGCTCTGAAAAGTGAGACCTGGGGCACACCTGGGTGCCTAGGGATGACCAGCCTCAGAGGACTAGCCGGCACTCCACCCCACACCCTGGACACTCACCTGCGTGTCCACACACCCTCTTTCTCAGGATGTCTAAGTGGGAACCCCGAGGACGCAGGTGGGGCCTTACCTTGTCCATCCAGAATGCTGGGGGCCTGCAAGGCAGGCCTGGTGGGGGCCTCTGCCTGTCTGGAAGGGACTCCAGTGCCCGGCTCCGGCTCGATCACTGCTCCCCGCCAGCTTCAGGGAGAGAGCGGCCGTCAGCAGGGCAGGGCACAGGCCCAAGGCCCAAGGTGGCTGCCTGGCCGGGCTCAGGCTCGCCCTCCACGCCACGCGATGAGCAGGCAGGACCCCCACCCCGGGGCCCGCTCTCAGGATGGGCACAAACTGCCTGCTTCAAAGGCAGATGTTCACCACACGCTGTTTCTCTCCCTGTTTCTGTTTCTCAGGAAACAGACAGCGGGTACAGCGGCCTCTGCCTTGGCGCGTTCAGACCCGTGCCCGCGGCTCCCGGTACCTGACAATGCTCCTCTGC